AGGCGTCAGAAACCTAACAGCGTCATAAAAGGGCCATGAAACAGATTTGCTGGGCTCTGGAAAGGAAGCGCTCAGAAAGTACCACCCCCTTTTTGATTGATGTCCTCACAGATGGCCCTCCAGGGCCCAGAAGGCCCAAGAGGGCCCCGAGGGAGCCCCGAATGCCTCCACATTTGCTCCAAAAGGCCACCAAGATACTCTTAGATAAAAAGATCTGGACTCATAACAGACCCACGGCCCTCGGACCAATGCCAAACTCTGCCACTACAGCTCAAATATTTATACGGCGACTTCTGTTGACTTTTCCACCACTCAGGAGATCAGAGAAATGGCGTAAGCCTTTCGAGTAAGGACAGTGAGAAAGAAGGGATGAAGGGAGCGTCGGCAAAATGAAAAAAACATGACGTAGAGGCAGAAATAAGTAGAGAGTACGGTAAACCAAAAGAGCAAAGGAGCTAGAAGGAAAGACAGAAGAAGAGAGAGAGAGAGAGAGAGAAAGAGAGGGAGACAGAGAGAGATCGAGAAGCTACGTGCTCTCGCGTAGTATCTCACGTCCTACCCCTCCCTCCCTCAGTCCCATCTCTTACCATTACGTGGAGCCCCTCAGTATCGCGCAGTTGGATGTCGAAGGAGACAATGATCGCAAAGTGTGCGCAACGCATAGCATGACATTGCACTGCATGGTCAAGCATTGCATGCCATAGCATTGCAGCGCAAGGCATGGCAGCGCATAGCAGCACATAACATAACATAGCGTGGCATGCTGTTGTATGGCATGGCACTGCGTAGCCCAGCGTTGCATATCGCGGCACTGCAGAGCACCACATGAAATCCCATAATAGCGAGACATAGCATCTTATTGGACTTCATGTCTTGAGAAAGGGAGAGAGAGAGAGAGAGAGACAGAGAGAAAGAGAGACAGAGAACTAATGCAATCAATTCACTATGGATGGGGAAACCAGAAAGGGCGACGAAATCAGACATAGCACGGAGGTTAGAGAGGGCGGACGTGGCATTCCAAGCAGACATAGTATCTAGAGTATAAGAACCATGTATGGGATCAGACAAGAAACATATAGAGAAAAAGATAGAGAGAACGAGACAGAGAGAGAGAGAGAAAGAGAACGAGAGACAACGAGGAGAGGGAGACAGAGAAAGCGAGGACACAACCAATCAAACAAGGTGGAATAAAGAGATTGCGAAAGAAGGAGCTAGAAACACGATACTATCAAAGGCGACACTTACTTACACATGCAACTGCAGATGATCTATATGTGTCTATAGATATGTGTATTTGCACGCAGCGGTTCCCCCAGACAAGGCGCTGGCTCCAGGCTCCGGGCCAATTTCGCGCGGTGGGCGGCCGGGGGATCCCGGGCTCCCAGGCTCCGAGTTCTGGGCCGATGTCGGTGAGAGAAACTGGTGCCGGGCCCGGATCTCCCGGCCCGGGTGCTCTCGAGGTCTGGGCCGCGGCCAGGTGCCCGGGTCCCTGGCGACCACGGCCAGGCCTGCAGAGTCGATAGTTTACGGGGACAGAGGGGCTACGTTTCAGAGAGTAGAGGGTGAGAGTAGAGGGTGTCCAGATAGCGTGGAGCATATACCGGGAATGGAGAGGATCGAGAAACTCAGCAGTGGAGTAGCAGAAAGAGAAAGACATACACATAGAGAGAAAGAGAGAGAAAGAGAGAAAACGCACGAAACAGATGGAGAGAATAGGAAGGGGGGAGAGAGAGAGAGAGATAGCTACAGCGACAGAAAAAGAGAGAGAGAGAGAGAGAGAAAGAAAGAAAGAAAGCGAGTGGTGGAGCAGAAAAAGATAGAGAGACAGTGACAACGGGAGACAGAAAGAGAAAGACATAGACAACGATAAATTGAGAAAGAGATACGCTACCTGCGACCACGGTTTGAAATTATACCTAAACTGATTAGAGGAACTGAGAGAGAGAGATAAACAGATGTGAATAGCGAGGGGGGGGGGACGGAACATGTATGAGGGGAGAGAACGAAAGAGTAGACATTAGAGAAGAGAAGTTATAGAATATAGAGCCACGTAGAAAGCAGATAAATAACAACATGGCATGGCGGGAAGGCGTGACACACTCGCTCGCGAAAGTGGCAATATGTTCTTGGATGTGGCTGCTCTGTGGAACTGTACACACATATATATATATATATATATAGATGTATATATGCATATGCATATGTATATCCGCCAGCCCCCTCTGGGGGCGCAAGGCTGCGAAGGTGTGTGCGGTCTACTGTCATGTGTTATGTGTTGTCATTTGTTGTTTGGCCTTTTTTTTCTCCGGTCATGTTTCCTGCCTCCTCCTGTTTGCTGTCTGCTAGGAGGCCTCGCCGCGCACAGCAAACAGCCACCAGTGGGAGGGGGGTGTACCTCAAATCCTGGCTGCTCGAGGACCTCCTCCAAGTACCCAGCACCAGGAACCAGCCCCCCAAAAAATCCAGGACTCCGAGGCCCCAGGCCCTGCTCGCATCGTCCTGCTCCTATTCATTTCCCCCCTCTCCTCCTCCTCCTCCTCCTCCTCCGCCTCCTCCTCCTCCTCCTCCTCCTCCTCCTCCTCCTCCTCTCCCTCCTCCTCCTCCCTCCTCCTCCTCTCCTCCTCTCCTCCTCTTCCTCCACTTCCTCCTCTTCCCCCTGTTCCCCTCTACCTCCTCCTCCTCCTCCTCCTCCTCCTCCTCCTCCTCCTCCTCCTCCTCCTTCTCCCCCCTCCTGCTCCGTGACGTCCTCCGCCTCCTGCTCCTCAACGTCCTTGTCCTGCTCGTCGTCTCCGTCTGCAGGGTCGGCGGCACCGGCCGTAAGGCCTTCTCAATAAAACAACCACAGGGATGAAGAAGAGGAGAAGGAGGAGGAGGAGGAGGAGGAGGAGTTGGACGACGACGACCAGGAGGACGAGCGTGACTGCCCTGGGAATGACAAGCAGACAATCACCATAAACTCCAACCGATGGCCTGATGGAGCCAGGAACGTGCCAGGAGGCCGGGCCTCGAGGCGACAGGAGGATGCCCTACGGAGCGCTGCCCAGGGAGGAGGAGGAGGAGGAGGAGCAGGAGGAGCAGGAGGAGCAGGAGCAGGAGGAGCACGAGGAGCAGGAGGAGGAGGAGGAGGAAAGCCGAGGAGGAGCGCTAGCACGAGCGACCCCCGAGCGACCACCTGTGTTGGCATGAACGAGGCGGGTCCTGAGGACCCCCAGGGCTCTCCCCCCGGGACGAGCTCCTCATCCTGTAGGGTGTTCGCTGGCGGGGGCGCACCAAGGCGTGGGGTGGAGAGACGTGCGCCTTTCTTCGTGCACAGCTTGGGCCCGCGGTGGCAGCTCCGGGGCCCTTTGGGGGGGGGGCCGCCTCGGGCCCGCTCTCTCCTGCCACCCTCGATCCCCCCAGCGCCTGCTGCCCCTGCGTCGGTCTCTGGCGGTCCTGGCCCGCGGAGGGCCCAAGGGAGGCCTCGAAACGGCGACAGAACCTCCGCTGGCCATCGCTCGGACGGCCATTCCCTCTGTTTTTTGTGCGGCTTCGTGCGCGGCTTTTTCGCCAAATGATCAAGGATGCTCCTCGATGGTCCTCGCCGAAAGAAAAAAAACACACGTCCGAGCGGTGCCAAGCCTCAGGATCTGCTGGCCTCAACGGCGAGTGGCCGCCTCGGACGAGGGCAGGCGGCGGCTCCCGCCACAAGCTGCGCTCGGCGGCGCGGCGGCGGCGCGGAGCTGATCGAGCTCCTGATCGCGCCGCAGCGCCGAGGCATCGGCAGTGCGGCGCGATCCTCCGACGCCGCCTGGGCGGCCTGAGTCAGAGCCCCCGAGTTGGTGCGGGCTGGGCAAAAGGGGATCTTCGGACTGGAATCGCCAACAAGACTGCTATAGCTCATCCTGTGGCGCAGGGCGCGTGGCAGCCACGCACTGATATGGTACAACGTGTGTACCGCGCACGAACGATTGCACGAACACGTGAGAACATTGTTGAGAGCCCTTGTGCAAAGAACCCTATCCGACCAAGGCTCGACGTTCGAGGATTGAATGACAATGTGTTCTGTTGTCGTGTTTGACATCTCCGGGCCGCAGGAGGCATTCGAAGACCTCCCAGAGCCCCCGGAAACCTATGGGGACCTCTTAACACGGGGTACGGCGGCCCTCCCATCCCCAGCTTTGCCGGTTTTCGATACGACAAAAAAATGAGGGTCCCAATCGGGGACACGCGATGGGGGGGGTCCATCCTGGATAGGGGTGCGTCCGAATAGCCCCCCGGCACGCATCCCCAATCTAGACTTTCGAAGGTACGCGAGGATCTCTTGGATCGGCGCTGGACTCCCCTGCATGGCGCGCACAGCGCACCAGTGGCGGCAAAGTCGCCGCCAGGGGAATCCAGCACAGGCTTCCGACAGCGCGGAGCGAAGGCAAGTAGAAGGTGCGCGCGCAGCGGTAAGAGAGCCGATCCTTGAACTGGTCACGACTGACAGGGCTCCCATCCGGGCTGATGTTGGCCACCAGCTGCGAAAGAGTGTTGACAAGGTCAGCCCTGTTCTCTTTGGTGCAACTCTTCAGAGCAGAATCCGCAGGCCTCTCCTACAGTCGGCCTTGATTGGACAGGACACGCGAGAGGACACAAGACCCTTCCGAGGGCTACATTGCCATGGGGGATGTAGGAGGCATCGGTTGCGAGGCACAGGACACAAGGGTACCTAAGTGTACCCTTGATTTGGCAAGGTCTACCTACTAATCCGGGCCCACTGTACGCGACGAAGCAATGAGGGCGAACTGCAAGCCCAAACATTTGGACTCTCGAAGGGCACCTCCTCCCCCCGACTCGCTCGCTAATCCCCGCTCGCGCCTTCACATCCGCCCTCCCAGACGCCTTCCCTCTCATCCTTGCTCCCTCCTCCTACTCCTACTCCTCCCCCTCCAACCCCTCCTCCTCCTCCTCCTCATCCTCCTCCTCCTCCTCCTCCTCCTCCTCCTTCGCCTCCTCCTCTTCCTCCTCCTTCTCCTCTTCCTCCAAATCACCAGCGCTGTCATTCGCACCGCAAACATCACAATCACCATCATTCCTCCATCGTCACGTTCTGCCTGGCAGTCTGGGGGGGGGAGGCGGCGAACCAAATTGAAAGGACGGAGCTTCTTCTCGCCACGCATGCAGGGCGTGTGCGCCACGCCACGGAGGGTTGAGGGGGGGGGTCCTGGCTCGCCACGACCACGTGATGACAGCGCCCCCTCTGGGCACACATCAGGGGAGCATCTAGGAGTTTCCCCGTGCCTTTCTGAAAATCGGACAGGCTCAAGATGCATCCGTCTGCGAGCGCCCCGACTCCGACGATCACGCTTCATCCAGGCGTGCTGCCGCGGAGCGTTATAAATCCACGAAAACTCCTGTGATCACGTTGAGCATTGCTAGAACCTCGGCGAGAAATCCGGAAAGCAGGCAACGATTCAATGAATGCGTATAACCGCACATGTGTACACGTATGCGCACGAATAGTTGCCCGCTGCATCCGTTCCCGATCCCCGGAGGGGGGAAGACAGAGGGCCGTGCGGTCCAGGAGTAGGACTCTGTGTTTGAACAGCGGGAAGAACTTGGAGAGCGCAGATAAACATAACACATATCAGACGAACAATTCCCCCGTCTAGGCGCCTCGTCTCCAGGGCTACGCGGATTCCCTCAACCCGCAGTCCACGCGCAATCCAAAATTCACACTCGCGCGGAGGAGAAGGATACATAAATATGTCATATCGTGGCAAGGGGCTCATCCAATATACAACCTACTCCACCCGAGAGCCCCCCCGATGCCCCCGGAAAAAAAGAGGATGAAGGACATGGAAGTGAAAGATGAGAAGAAGGAGGATGAGGAGGAGGACGAGAAGTGAGAGGACGAGGCAAAACCACCCTGTCCCCAAGCCGTTGGCGCACGCAGGCTCGGATGTGCTACCCTTCCAGATCTGTAGGCACAAGCAAACCGCAGCCGGGACAAGCAAGCAGCATGGCCATGCATCCTGAGGCGTGTGGGCTGGTAAACAAGGGCGCTCGCGGTTCCTGTCTTGACTCACTGCGGCTAAGTCCTCACCAACCACCCAGAAGTACAATCGGCGCCCCAAACGCTTGGACTGAGCAGCCCAAGAGGAAGAGGAGAGGGGGGAAGTGGAGAAGGAGGAGGAGAAGGATACGGGGGAGGAGGGTGAGGGTGAGGGCAGTAGGGAACGCGCCAGTCGTGCCGACGCGCCCCGCCCGCGGCGCCCGCGCCCCCGCTCAGCGGTCGCCGCCCTCGGCGGCTTGGCCGCCCAGTTTCCTGGGGCCCCGTCCAGGTTGCACAGCACTTCCCTGGCTAGAGGAGCGACACTGCTGCCCGCGACTCTTATGTTTAGGGCGAGCTGCCGCGAAGCCAAAATGTCGGAGAGCGGTCTCGCTGACGCTCTGCGTAGAATTTCATCGTTGGGGACCCGTGGGGCGCATGAACGGAGGATGCCCAAGACTCGCAAAACGGTTCTGCACTGGAAAGTACGCAGCATGGACCTCTCAGCACGGAGCCGTACAGAATCGAAGGGGGGAAACAGCGTGCTCAGCACGCATGTCTTGTAGATCTTCAACTTGCGTGCCAAGCCGATGGACGACTGCGACGCACAATCCACAATCTGTTGGAAACTCCACTCGCTTCTCCAATGCGCCGGGAGTGCTGCGACGCCGCTGCTCCATCGCAAATGATGGGCACACCTGAAGACACGGTTTCTCGCAACGTGGATGTACGTCAACCATCTGGCCCCTGGATCCGCACTATTGACGGGATCTGGGTCTGGATTGTATAATACAAGTTCAGCTCCGAACCGTACTGCATGCTCCCCTCGACAACCGCGTTGAGCACAATCTGTAGGTTCCCGCGGTGCTGCGGGGCCATGAGTGCGTCGTCCGCATATAGCACATCTCGAGGCACCCACACAATTTTGTTCGCCATGAAGATCGAGTTTGTCGAACACGTCGCGCCGGAGGACGCGTTGCATGGCAATGAAGGGTCAGGGCGATAGCGGGCCCCATGGGGTAATGCCTGCTCGCTGGCGCCTCTGACGACGGGCCCGTGTGTTTGCGTATGGCGAAATGCCAGCTTTCGTAGATCGCCCGCATCATGATTACCAGGTCCATACGCAACCCAAACCTCTGTCATGCATCACACACAATGTCTGGCGCTCTGCCGCATGCTTTTGCACAGTTTTGCATCCAAAGCAGCATCCCGCAAGAGTTGTTAACGCGCGCACCGTCTATCATGCGCATCACCAGCATCAGCGCGTCTACAGTGCCACGGTCCAGGCGGCATCCGCATTTCGAGTCTCGCATCTGCGCATCGGCGCCAGCATCGATCACCCTGCGATGCAGCATAGACGCCGTGACCTTGTATCCTACGGACAAAAATTAAAGTATCGGGTAGTGTGCTGGACATGCGGCGTCGCCTTCTTTGAACAACAAAACGACTCGTTCGCGCCGCCGTGACACTGGAATTGCTTCCTGCTCACAACATGGTTGGCAAACCTAGAGTAACATAACACAGGCGAGGTCATCATCTGCGACTGCCTTCCAGAAGTATGACTAAACCTTGTCGTGTCCCACCGCTGTCCCAACTTTCAGTCTGCCCAGATTTCGTCAGAGTTCGGCCAGCGCGAACGATACCGTGTTGATCGGCAAGGTGGGCCCACACAGCATGTCACTTGCGGGACTCACGTCATCACAGCGTCGTTGTCATCAAAGCGTCGGGCTTGGGGAGGAGGAAAAGGATCCTAGAATAAAGCGACAGGGGTAGAGAGGGGATGGAGAAGTGCAGCGAGAGGGGGAGGAGAGAGGCGGGATGGGGAAGGGGAGGAAGGGGCAAGGAAGAAGGAAGGGGAAGGCTTGAGGGGAAGCATGGGGAGGGGAGGGGAGACGAGGAGGGGTAGAAGGATGGAGGCAGGGCAAAAGGGAGAGGGAGGGATGGGGGGGGAGGAGAGGAGGGGGAGGGCGGGAGGCGGGATGTGGAGCGGGAAGAGTCCATGTTGCGACGAGGAACCTCACGCAGACGATGTGAAAGAGCAATCCTCGTCTTCCACATGCACAGTGAGAGCTCGCCCACAAGAAACCTTCCACAAGAAACCAACCCTGAGACCCCAGGACGTCCATCGATGTTTGGTGTGGGAACGTCACCCTTTCAATCGCAAGACCGTCGAAACCCAAGGCACCCTGGAGTCTGGAGGCAAGCAGGATGTGTCTTGGCATGTGTTTCCACTCTATTCGTTACCAAGGGGCAATCAACGTGGGGGGTCAAACAAGTGCATCTTTCGTACACCTATTCGGCCCGCGGGCTCTTCAAGGCAAGGCCCCCGGCGGGCAACTTGCCTGCAATCCTCGATCCGCCCACGATGATTGCCCCCCCGTTACCGTCCGCACGAATCAGCAACACCATCATCATGCTCCTCGTGCTCCTCGTGCTCCCGACGGGGGGGAGGGCTGGCCGCGAAGGAGATGTAGAAGCACATCAGCAGGGCCATCGCCGGAGAGTTCTGGTCGAAGAGCGGGTCTATCAGCACCGACCAGCTGAGTCCTCCGGTAATCGCCTGCGGGAGTAGAGGACCCAAACAACTGCATAAGCATAAGCTGTACATGTCCTCCGGCGCCGCCAATGTGGACGCCCGAAATGGGTACGGAAAGAATGGGCACAATGCCCAACAACAAATGCTGTCCCAAACCAACAGCGGCCGCTGTTGGGCAGGCGGCCTCCTGTCTTACATGGACACAGGCCGCGGCGGCGTGGACAGCGAGTCCGGTTCAAAATGAACAGGAACTGCTGTTGGGCATTGTACCCATTCTTTCCGTGCCCATTTCGCTCGTGCCGAGCCGAGGGGATCCAGTGCCGATCTTGACAAAATGTGTTTGGACCGTGCCCGGCTGATCCTGTCGTTTGCGCGCCGGCCCGAGACCAGGCCTCGGGGCGCCGCTGTCCCAGCCTGCCGAGATTAAGTTGGGCCTGTCCCCCTACAGGCCGATTTGGAACGAACTAGAACTCATACCCCAAAAATGCACCAAACATGCCCCAAACTACTGAAAAACAAATGCCCGGACTATCTTTTGACTGTTTTGGGCTCTTCCTCCTGTGGAGGGACAGGCCCGGCTGGATGCTGAGATATGCATCCGGGTGGAGGGGCTGATGGGTCTTGCACCGTGCCCGGGTGAGCGACGTTGGAGCGTTGTCTCGCGTTGGGGGCTGCATTGAAGCCCTGCCTTCTGAGGGGAGATCACGGCTGAACCTTCCAGTGTCTGGTGCAAATCGGTGGCGCTCGATCGGAGAATTCACCTCGGCGCTCCTCGACCGCGTCTCTCTTGAAGACGGCCTCGGAGCTCCTCAGGCGCGGAATGACCAGGCTCAGCGCAAACCCGGCTCAACAAATTCAAAAAACTGCGCTGCAATGCTTGATGGGGGCTTCCCAAACCCGGCTCAACAAGATTCTGCAACACCCCCGCAGCTGCCCGCCGGCCGAGCGATCAGACTGTGCTGCTGGGCGCCTGGGGCTGAAAAAGCAGCATGCCCGCGCGGGAGGCCCTCGAGATGTTCCGACCTGCTGGCCCGCCGCGGGCCCTCGAGCACGAGGAGGAGGAGGAGGAGGAGGAGGAGGAGGAGGAGGAGGAGGGGGAGGAGGAGGAGGAGGGAAAGGAGGGAGAGAGGCAGCGAGACGAGGAGGAGGGAGAGGGGGAGGAGGGGGAGGAGGAGGAGGAGGAGGAGGAGGAGGAGGAGGAGGGAGGAGGAGGAGGAGGAGGAGGAGGAGGAGGAGGAGGAGAGGAGGAGGAGGAGGAGGAGGAGGAGGAGGAGGAGGAGGAGCGGAGGAGGAGGACGAGGAGGAGAAGGAGGAGGAGGAGGACGGAGGAGGAGGAGGGGGAGGAGGAGGAGGAGGAGGAGGAAGAGGAGGAAGAGCGAGCCCTGTTTGATGCTGTCGCTGGAGCGACTCGCTCCGCGCCTCGCGCTCCGCGACTGCGCGAATCACGGGGTCATCTGCGCGCACCCGCTCCCCTCGCGTCGCCCCCGCTCGGAGAGGGAGGGAGGGCCGCTCGGGCCAGGACCGCGGCGCGCGACGCGAGAGCATCTTCGCGCCCCTGGGGCTGACGTGCAAATCTCCCGAGTGTTTCGAGGAGTGCGCACCTCCAGCCCCCAGGCTTGCGAGTGTCTCGAAGGGCGCTGCACCACAGGGCCCTCAGCGTGGGCGAGACTGCCTCCTCGTCCTCCTCCTCCTCCTCCTCCTCCTCCTTCGCCTCTCCCTTCTCTCTCTGGCCCCTCCTCCGCCCCCTCCTCGTGAAAGCTCAGGAAGGAATTGGAATGATGCTTACGCTGCCTCGCACAGAACTTGACCGCATGTCTAAATAGAGCTACTTCAAATACACGGACTCCGAACTGTCGGAGAGGAAACGACTCCAACCTCGAGCAATGCAGCATGTGACCATGCGCTTCCCAACGCGAAAATCGTGACGACACGCCATGGCGGCACCTCTTGAAATGACGAAGAATGTATCCGCGATGCATGCGCAGACGTCCCAAGTAAGTCTCTCATATCAGGCCGACCTTGGCGGCCGAAATCGCATTCGCTTGGGGCGATATTGGCGGCCTCAGCGCCCAGAATTCGACCAAAGCGCAAGAGCCTGGTAAAGCGACAGCATCGAGCGGAAGAGGGAGCCGTAGTACTTGTAGGTGTCCGTGCCCACTGGAGACGGACGGGCATGCTGTTCTCTCGGAGCGGGCAAGGGTGGCACTCGCACGCCGCTGCCACTCCTCCCTATCATATCGACTTCTCCCGCCACCCTCCTCCACCCGCCCTTCCTCCTCCTCCTCCTCCTCCTCCTCCTCCTCCTCCTCCTCCTCCTCCTACTACTACTACTACTACTACTACTACTACTCCTCCTCCTCCTCCTCCTCCTCCTCCTCCTCCTCCTCCTCCTCTTCATTCCTCCTTCCTTTCATTCCTCCTCCTCGCCACGCCACCCTCCCCCCAATCTTCATAACCGAGTACCCCTGATAATCACATCCGGGGGATAATACAGTTCGGGGCTCGAGGCGGATAATACATTTCTCGTCCATGCAACTCGTATGTACGGAGGTACGGATGTGATGTTGCCTTGAGGGGGGCCTCGGAACTCGCACGTGCAGATACGAGTCTCTGCTGAAAAGTTACGGCCGCGAGGCACTCGGTCCGAGGACTCATCAGCGTTTCTCGTCAAAGGCCTAGATGGTTAGAATCCGATGGGATACCCACACGTTCGTGACTTCGGAAAGCTGGAATGATGAGAATCCCATGGCCCTGCCACACGTTCGTGACTTGGGAAAGCTAATATGGTGAAAACCCCATACACCTGGCACACGTTCGTTAATCAAGAAAGCAGGCATAGTGAGGATCCCACATCCCTGCCACACGTTCGCGGTAGTGTTGCTACTCAACAAAAATATAACAACTTCAATTCGCATTGGCCGAAGCGATAATGCAATTCGGCCTCTCCGCCCTATTCTCCCGACCAACTCTGTCTTTGCCCAGGGACATCAACTCTCAGGTCTGAAAGGGTTGTCTTATTATCCGGGGCGCTCAGTTATTCCTCCTCCTCCTATTCCTCCTCCTCCTCCTCCTCCTCCTCCTCTCCCTCCTCCTCTTCCTCCTGGTCCTCCTCCTCCTCCTCCTCCTCCCCCTCTCGCTCCTCCTCGTCTCGCTCCCTCTCTCCCTCCTTCCTTTCCCATCCTCCCCCTCCTCCTCCTCCCCCTCCTCCTCCTCCTGCTCCTCCTCCTCCTCATCATCATCAGCATCATCCTCTTCCCACTCCTCCTCGTCTCGCTCCCAGCGAGCCAACCGCCGAAAGAACTATTTTCTGAGGTCGCCCGCTCCAACCTCAGACCAAACTCCCGACATAAACATGTACTGAAATCAGCCCCCGTCGAACCCCGACTGCGCGTTCATCAAGACAGAATGCTTCGATCACAGCGCGCGCCCGTTGTAAGCCCACCTCGCTCGCAAGGCCCACAACCCAGCGCGAGGTCGCGGGAGATGATGCGTCTGCGTCACGCGCGGGCGCGAGGTAAAATGGTAACTCTGTTGGTATTGGAACACTAGAATTAAGAAACAAGACAGAAACGTTCCGAGGCGTACCATTCAGATTCAACAATATAACAGTGCACCTTTACCGTGGCACCTCCTGCGACTCAACGCATGCACGGGGTGGTCGGCGTCTGGGTGACTGGGCAATGGAGGGCCCCGAGATTCCCATTTCTGATGAGGCTAACGTAGTCCGGACTGAGAGCCCTGGTCCGAACCCCGAGATACACGCAATATTGTTTCCAAACATTTCGCGCCGAGGGCTTGCGGGCACCGCGAATGCCAAATTGACGCGCGCATGCGCCGACTCGGGTGGTTCGAGGGCGCAGTCTACATCTGCTAGCCGCCCAGTGTTGCCTCCATGCAATGAGCCTTTCACCGCGGCACCCCGCCACCTTATCACCTTATCGCTGCTCTACGGGGGCCCGCCACGATGTCAGGTCCCGGCGGCCCTTTGTAAAGTAGAATGGGTTAGCGCACCCAGAGGGCGACTACCCCTTGTTAGCGACTCGGACGCGCGCCCCAGTGCCAGGAGATTTTTCAAACTGCGCGACGCCCGCGCTCCCAAGGCCACGACACCTTGTTATTTTTCAACAGTCAGCGCTGCCAGAGCGACGACCCCTTTGCAACTGCGCCCACGGAGCCCCGAAGGAAAATAACGGGAAACGGGAATTTGCAGCCGAGTAGGAAGTGCGTAATTAAAATGTGTGAGTTGACGTGCCGAATCGAACAGCATCCCTGCTGAAGCGCGCGACAAACTCGCGCCGAGCTGGCATAGCACTAACAGCAACACAAACAAAAATCGATCCAGCAAGAAGGTGCGGGCCGACAGAAGGGCATGCAAATCTAACGTGGAGTGGCGGACTGGCCGAACGGAGTTAGCGAGGCCATATATGGGGCCCCCGTGGGGGGTGCTAGAAACCCTGAAGACAATTTGGTCGAAAACGCGCCCTGCAGGAGGCAAACAACGCGCACCGGCTGGGGCCAATGGTAAATATTATTGGTAAGCTCCTCGAGAGCTTGCACCCTCCACCCCGAATTGCGCTCTTTAGAGTTACGCAGTTTCCTCTGCAGCCACTTTGGCTCATGTTCCCCGACCCATGGGGGTTGGGAGCTTGCCGCGGCCGTGGGCTCGAGGGCCCACCAGCTGTTTGGCACCAGGCCGCGCGGAACGCGGCGGCGCATGCAGGCGATTGCGCCGAGGGTGGCGCAACGCCCCTCGGAGGCGCCGAGGCGGCCTCTGGGCGAGCAGGCGCCGTCGGCAGCCCTGGGCGGGGAGGCCAGCCTGGCCCCGGTGAAGGCCCGGCCGCCGCGGAGGCCGGCTTCTGTGGCGGGAGCGCTGGCGGTGGAGCCGAGGAAGGCCACGCTGCGCCCAGCCCCGCTGAGCCCCCCCTGGCGGGGGCAGGCGGAGTTGGCGAGCGGGCGACAGCGGTGGCCCCCAGGAGCCGCGCACAGCCGCCCGCGCGCCCCCGCAGCCCGCCGGCTGGCCAGAGGCTGGCGGCCCCGAACCCTTCCCGAGGCGGGGGAAGGCGCTGCCTTGGAAGCGGGCGACGGCGGCGGCAGGCTGCATGCGCGCGCGGGCGGCTCGGCGCGGCTCCTGCCAGGGGCCAGCGGCCTCGGCGGCAGCGAGCGCACGTGAGGAGGGCGAGGACGCGGCGCCAGCGCGCCACCTAGGTCGGCGCCTACGCAGCGGCAGCAGCAGCAGCAGAAGCAGCAGCAGCGGAATGCATATGTTCCTCCCCTCACCTACACCTTCCCTCTGCGAATGTGGTTTCAGTATCCAGTTTAGCTTGAACTCACTCTCGAATGCCCCCGTGAATGGTGCAGGAATATTATTATTGAGTTCCGTGCTGATAATTTGTCTTGCCGCTCCGATACTCGGAGCTGTGACGATTTGCTTCCCAATTCCTGTGCTCGTGTGTCTCATCCTCTATATTCTTGACTTGATGTGACGGCCCGCAGAGGTGCAGGCCCCAAGGAACAGTGGCGAGCACGCAAGCCAAGCAGTTCCAGGCCTGGGAAAAGGGGGGCGGGAGTGAGAGGCGTGGGGCGGTGTGCAGGGCTTATGCGATCCATTATCCCTTTTCTTGCCTCGTCATTCATACTAGACGTAATAAGCTATAAAACCAGCAGCAGCAGAAGCACCAGCAGCTCCAGCTCGGCGGAGCGGGCGCACGAGCGGCTGCGCGGACCGCGGCAGCATCCCGCGGAAGGGACGCTGCTCGCGGGCCCCCCCGCCGCGGCCCCGGAGGCGGCAGACGCCCCAGCTGGCAGGGACTGCTACGACGGGGCTGCTACGACGGGAGCGCCAGCAGCTCCGAGGGCAGCTCAGCGGCAGCAGCAGCCCCCCGGCGGGGGCGGGCTGCGGAGGACGCTCCGACGGCAGCCCCGCCAGCGGCGGCAGCGCCAGGAGCGGGTGCTCCAACGGCAGCACCGCAGGGGGCGGCAGCGCCTGGAGCGGGAGCTCCGACGGCACCACCGCGGGGAGCGGCAGCGCCGGGAGCGGGGCCAGGCGGCGGCGCGGCCGCCGTGGCGGCCAGCGGCGCCCACGCCTCGCTGGCGAAGGGCTCGCAGGCGGCGCCCCCCGCAGCGGCGGTGGCGGCGACGCTGAGGGCAAACGGCTGGGGTTTTGCAGCCGTGGGGGTCCCGGAGGGGGTCCTCGCCTTAGCAGTGCGAGCGGGTCTCCTCCTCCAGGAGAGCCCCAGGCGGTCGCGCCAGACGCCGGTGAGCACCCCATCGAAATCGAATCCGACGGGCTCGAACGGCTCGGGCGGCCCGGCCAACCGGCCGCGGCTGACCAGCCGGGCACCCTGGCCCTGGGCCACGGGCAGGCACCGGGGCGCGCGCTGGCGGTCGCAGAGCTGGCGACGCCGTCCCGAGCTCGGGGCTGGGCGGCTTCTTCGGCCAGGCCGGTGGGACGTCGGTGGGCTGACCTGACGGCCGAGGAGCTCGCAGGGGTCGCGGACCCGCCAGCTGCCGCCAAGCCCGCCGAGGGCGCGCGGGCCCTGGCCGCCGGGCCCGCCAAGGCCGCCGCGCTCGCCGCGGCGGCCGCGCGCGCAGGAGCGGCTGCCCGCGCCGCGGAAGCGGCGCAGGCGGTGGCTCTGGCCGCTGCCGCGGGCGCGGCGGCCGCGCGTTAGGGTCGCCCGAGCTCGCGGGGCTGCTGGCAGGCGACTAGCGGCGCGCTCCCGCTGGGGCTGAGGCCCGCCGGGCCGGGCGCGGGCCGGCGCGCCTCTCTTCCCTCCCCCTCCCCCTTCCCACCCGTTCCCCGCCCCCCTCCCCCCCGCCTGTGTCGTTGTTGTGTCGTCTGTCGTCCCCGTCGTCGTGGCTTGTCGCGTTCTTACCCTCACCACGGGGCTTCTCCTGCGCTTGTGAGCAATGTTACGCAGTTTCCTTGTCGATATGATGTTCTGGGTTTGGGTAGCATTGCAGTCTAAGTACTTGGTCGCGCCCCTCCCTCCAAGGTCGGCCATTGTGGAACTTCCGACCCGCATCCGCTCAGACAGCGTTTCGCTCTGCTTCGGCATTGAAGTGGTTAGGTGAGCCTTCATAGAAACCTCTGTGGACCTCCGCGGCCCTATCACAAACGTGATTTCGACAAAATATCGTCCAGATTTCGACCACCCCTCGTCACCCGCTCGTCCAGAGTTCGTCCAGATGTCCACCACATCCAACGAAATCCAAACGGCACCCCCCAAACCGCAAATAATTCGGGGACCCCCCGAAGCTCCCATGGGGGACCGCACGAAAGGGGTGAGCGACATGGAAGGGGCGAGCGGGGGCGGCATTGAAGGGGGGCGTCCACCATCCTTGAGGCTGAAGTCTGCCGAGGGCTCTGCAGCCATCGTAGCTACCATGATAAAGGAGCGCAGAAGAAGGAACGCAGGCGCTCTTCTGGCCACGGCGGGCCTGGGCCACACACTGCTCTCCACGACGCAGATCCCGAAGGACCGGCCCAGAAACCCGATGCCCCTCCCGAGCCCCACGCAGCCCTTCTTGCCGTCGCTCGGACGTCCATTGCCCGTGCGTTTTTCGGTTCCGTGCGTGTTTTTTTTTGCTCGATGGTCCAGGATGGTCCTCGATGGTCCTCGCCGAGAAAAAATGCACACGTCCGAGCGATGCCAAGCCTTCTTCCAGCGTCTTGACTGCGGGACGGAGCCTGCCGGCAGAGTCGGGCCTCCGGGAGGCCCGAGGCTGGCGGCGGTGATCGGCGGGGGCGGTGCGAAAAGCGCGCCCGCGCACTCCTGCCGCGGAGCCCGGGTTGTCCTCGGCGAGGTCCGCCACCACCTGGGCAGGAGGGGCAGCGACCCCTGCCAGTCGTTCGGAAGCGGTGTGTGGCAACGGGAAGTTGGAAGGCGTTGGAATTAGATTGGGTTTCCCCCGCCCTACAACAGGGGAAACCGTGCGACTCCTGAAGAAGGAAGGCGGCGAAAGCAGATTGGGATCTGGGGGTCTACGAACACCGACTCTCAAGAACTGATGGCTCACTGTGGGCTCAAAAGGACCATGCTGAACAAACTTCTGTGGGTCAAGCGAATCATACCTGCTTGAGCGGCCCAGCGTCCGCCCGGACGGCCGCCCCCCTCCCTGTCCCTCCCGTGCTCGTGCGTCCGCTGCATCCATGGCTGGTGCCGGGGCGCTACCTGTTGGCTGCGCCCGTGGAGGAGCCCACGGGCACCGGCTGGGGCTCCCAATGCCGAGGAGGGGAAAGAAATCTGTTGCCGCCGGGAGCGCCCCTGAGAGAGGACGGGGGGGGTCCCCCCGTTCTCGTTCCGCAGCTGACATTGCGACGGATCCCTGGACGGGGGTCTGGAGATTTCACAGACGGCGGCCTGCTCCCAGTGGGCCTGTCTGTGCGCTCGGACGGAGAGTCGAAGCGGACTTGAGGTAGCATTGCGCTCACGGGGCCCTGGGAGGCCGTCTTGGATGATCCTGGATGATCCTGCGCAGGAGGCCCTCCCGACATGGCGGGAAGAGGGGTGTACTCAGACCCCGGGGCCTCCTCCTCCTCCTCTAGGAGTCGGGAGAAAGTCACGACGGCTGTCTCTTTGTTCGGGCCCTCGGCAGGCCTGGGGGCCGCAAAGGAACAAGTCGGCATGAAAAGCCCGTCTGGGGAATGCGTCCAGACCTCTGAGGGTCGACGTCATGGTCTGCAACCATCAAGGTTCGGCATGGATTTACCACTTGGATCGTCCTTGCACGAGGATCGTCCTTCAAGGATCGACCATGAAGGTCGTAGGCTTTGATGAGTTGCCGACCTTGATGGTCGCAGACCATGGGTTTACAATTGGATCGTCCTTCAAGGATCGAGAGGCCTCCGACGAGATCCCAACGAATATCTAATGGGTTTCATACCAAAAAAGGCACGGTGGCCGGATGGCCCGAAGGCCATGTGATATATCCTTGTCCACCGCATGTGGAGCCTGTACCGATGTCCACCGCCAGGGAGATCGGTTTCCCAAGCGGTGGATCTGGATAATTTCCTGCCTCGGACTTAGTGCCACTGAACACGTGAGACAAAAGGTTGGTTGGATCCGTCAGTGGGTCAGCCTGGGCCAACGACGCTGGAGCTGTGGCGCTTCTTTCTCTCAACCCTCCTGTGTTGGTTTCTCGTTTTGAATAGGGCACCGTGGTCTCCATTCCTCCTCTCCTCCTCACCCTTCCTCCTGCATCCTCCTGCACTGCTCCCTGGGTGGCTGTAAACTGCGCAACTGTCCAGAGCGACGGCGCCCATGGATTATATTCGAGCCCAGCCGATCAGCCGATCAGCCGATCGGCTCCTCGGCCACTGATCGGCTTATCGGCTGATCGGCTGCTCGACCGCTGATCGGCACATCGGCTGATCGGCTGATCGGCTGCTCAACCCCCCTCTGCACTGGCGCCTAGGTATCCTCCTCCCCCTCCTCCTCCTCCTCCTCCTCCTCCTCCTCCTTCTCCTCCTCGTCCTCATCGCCGCGGTTGTTGCGGGCGTGACAGGCTCACCCGACACAGTGACAGGGATATGGAGAAGGAGGGAGGAGGAGGCAGGAGGCCGGAGGGCAAGCAGAGAGAGGAGGGCTCCCCCACTCCTTCTGATTACACCGGCCCTTGGGACTGAGGTGATCTAGCGAATTCGTTCTCTCCTCTTTCTGGGAATGGTGCCCTCCCCCTCCCCTGAGGTTTGCTGGGGCGGGCCGCGAAGTGTCAGGGCGCCCAACATGGCCCAAGGTGGCTCCAAGAGGGCGTCCGATGCTCCAAGACGGCCTCCAAAATAAATCAAGATAGCCGACGATGGTTCAAGATAGCCTCCGACATACCTCCAAGAGGCCCGACGAGGGCCATAAGGCGGTCGGAGCCCCCTCAGGACCCCCACCAGAACAAAATCTTTCAACATCCTGAGGATAATCAAGGATTTTGGACTGATCGCGTTCTCGTTTCCGATGCGCTTTTGAGGCGTCAAGATGGCCCCAAGATGGCCCAAATGATCGATACCGTTACCCCCGGGTCCTCTCATGGAATGCTGTGTATACGGCATTTCCGTGCGAATCCAGCCGTGGGGACGGTGGCCTCCTAGGAGGCCCATCATCGAGAGAATATGGAAGATAATGGGGGCGAACGGAAGTAGCATGATCGGGCAGATCGCTGCCCCAGACAGAACTTTACGACGACTCTTTCGCCCCTTTGTCGAAACCCTTCAAGGGAGCCCGCTCGGGGGGCATCTTGAGCTGTCTTGTGCGCGACTCGAATGCCTCTTGGGCCGTCTTGAACGCTATGCGAACCGAACCAGCAAGTGCGCTGGCTACGTCCGCCCGTCCTCTCTTCCCTCCTCCTCCTCCTCCTCCTCCTCCTCCTCCTCCTCCTCCTCCTCATCCTCATCCTCCTCATCCTCCTCCTCCTCTTCCTCCTCCTCCTCCCCCTCCTCACCCCCCCCCTCCCCAACAATCTCCACCCCCTCCTGTTCCCATGCGGTTGTGGGTCAATGTTGGCATCCTGGGAAAGGAGGGGGCCAAATTCAGCGGCCTTCCTTGTTTGACCAACCATTATCCGACGCGGCCCCAAGATGGCCCGATGCCTCCGAGGGCCCAATGGGCCCCGAGAGGCGCCCCGAGTCCTTTATCCTCATCCAACTTCGTCCCCCCCCTTTTCGTCCTGACCCTCCTGAAGTGCGACGGTTCCCACAGCCTGTTTCCCGCTGCGTGCTCCTCCACATCCCGGATCAGGGCAAATCGCCCGGGCGTCGTTCCTGGATGGGCTGGCGGGGTGACGCGAAGCATCTCGAATGCGCAGCGTCTTCCGCTTCAGCAATCGGGCACGAACTATGGGCAGTGCAAAATGCTTAATGCTACGAGTTCTGCGCGCACGCGGCAACTCCAACGACACCTGACACTGGACGATGCGGTGCTCCGCATATGGCGAGGCGCGGGCCATGCACGCAGATCACCGCCCGTGATTATATGAACCGCGCACGTTACCTGCCAGAGCGCGATCGAACGCGAGCGAAAGCCAGGCGGCGACGGCGGTGTCCCCTGACATAATGAATGACCAGCTGCTTCGGCGGCGCCCCTTGGCCCAGCAAGAACGGAGGCCCGAACGAATGATTCGCCGCCCTGCAAGGACCAACCTCGATAATTGTAACGGACTTATTACACTGCTCTTGCGCCCCGATCAGGTCCCCGCCCATGGCGTTCGACGGACAGCCCATAAAAACCACGCAATCATCATTTGGCACTGAAGCCGCTGCCGCAGCGTCCCAAGACCAACTGGAACCCCGCGAAGACCTCCCGCACCTCGAAATCTGCTGCTAGATCCAGGACAAAATCGACGCCGACGACGCGGGAAGCATACATACAAGTCGGTGAGCCAGCCGGCGAACCGATGCACGGGGCTTTCACCGCGGGCGCTCACAGGGTTCGCCCAGCGGCCGTCTGCAACCTCCAGCTGCGCCCGCAGCTTTCAGCGAACGCCGCCGGCGCTGAGCGGTCAAGCGCGTTCCGCATCGGCACCGCGTCAAGCGGAAATTCCAATGACAACTCCGCGGGGCCAAGACCGAGGATGCCCGCGCGCGCGAAGGTGCTCCTCGTAGTGCTCATGCGCCTGAGCGGCGGCCTTGGCGTCGAGGCGAGACCGATGGCCCACGCGCACCGCGCAGGCGAGGTCAGAACGCATGTGCCGCGCAAGTGCGTCAGCGCGCCCCGCCGCCGCCCGAAATCCGCCATCGTCTGAATTCCTTCCGCGAAGCAAGTCCTCTTGAACCATGCGTCGTGGCCCAGGCTCGTCGACGCTGATCCAGGATTGCGGGCCATGCGACCCTGCGGTGCAAAATTCTGGGACGTAGCAGAATGCTGCGCGGTGCTATAGGGGTCGCAATTGAGCGCGTCCGGCATCGCAGCATCAACCCGCCCACGCAAATCCTTCCTCCCTGGCTGAGTTGATGGCGTTCTGCATTTCGTTTTCCGACAACGCCGCGCCGTTCATGCACGCGTCTTCGTCGTTGCGCACGGTTCGGCCCATGGGGGCGAACGTTGCGAGAGCCCGACACGCGGCGCAACAGAGGTCGAGCTCCCGGCACCGCTGGCGCATCAGATTTGACAGTGAGCTCCCCGCCTACGCGGGAACTGCAGAATCGACCGAACACACGGACACCTCTCCGGTGTCAACGCATACGTTTTCGACACAAAGTCCTGGTAGCGGTCAACGGCGCGCGCAAAAATCGCAAGGGTCGGGGCGGGCGCAGAACCGTCGTCGACCGCTCGCGGTCAAAGTCGTTTCTCTGTGGCATGCGATACCGTGTGGACGTATGGCGCAATCCATCACCATGTTTTCGTTCATGGCCGAGCATGTTGGAACGAGTTCGGGATGTCCGACAAAGCGTCTGCTACAGCGAAAATTATGTCACAAGCAATAACACGTGTCCTGTGTGGCGGAATCTTTTTACATTGAAGTCCCACCCCCGAAACATCCCAATAAACATCTGCACGACTTGCTGGAAGGACGCTCCGGCTATGCTGGCGCAGGGCTTGGAATAGCCGCAGGCTGTCAACAGTCTTTTGCCCAAGACCGGACACTACTCTCAGGTAGTCCACGCGGAGGGTCTCAACGCTGGCCCCATCAGTGGCGGTCAGCCATGCCGCGGCGTCGCTGCTGCTGGGCGCTGTCGCATGCAATATCGGCATGGCCTGCGGATTGTAACGATCCGATGGATGGGCCCCTGGTGGAGCAGGCACGGCGCAGGCCAAACATCATCATTTTCCGCGTCGTCGTCGTCGACCTCCTCCTCCTCCTCCTCCTCCTCCTCCTCCTTCTCCTCACGTTCCTCCTCCTCCTCCTCCTCCTCCTCCTCATCATCATCATCATCATCATCCTCATCCTCCTTCTGCTCCTCCTCCTCCTCCTTCTCCTCCTCTTCCTCCTCCTCCTCCTCCTCCACCACCTCCTCCTCCTCCTTCCGCCTCCTCCTCCTCCTCCTTCTCCTCCTCCTCCTCCAGGAGGCACCAGGAGGCGCCGAAGGCAGCAAAAGGCCCCAAGAGGTCCACGGAGCAGGAGGCCTCACAAAAGGCCACAGGAGTGGCTCCAATCCCATATGTTGTACGTATGCTCCAATAGATTGGGATCCCCCTGGAGCACGAAACTTTTTTTGTGTTGTACGTATGTTTGTATAGATTGTCCTTCCCCTGCGCATCCAATCCAAAGTTTTTGACGTACGTTCCTATAGAATTGGCCTCCCCTGGGGCACGAGCCCTTGGTGTTTGACGCGAGTTCCTGCAGATTGCCTCTCCTGCGGCTGCATTATGTGCTTGTTCCAACAGGTTCGGCCTCTCCTGGGGCGCGAATCCTCCCCAGGAGGCCCCAGGAGGCCCCAGCAGGCTCCAGGAGGCCCCAAGAGGCCACACGAGGCCCCAGGAGGCTCCAGGAGGCCCCAGGAAGCCCAAGGAGGTTTCAGGAGGTCCCAGGACGCCCCAGGCTCATGCGCAGAGACGCGCTCGTACTACTGGGACTCATTCACGCTCCAGCTCATTCGCAGTTAAAGACACTCCCAGACCGCCAGACCGTCAATACCAAGCCCGCGTATATTCTAAAACTCTTGCGCATATACACTCACGGCGGACAGGCCCATGCTAATAGATTCACATATGGGGAGCTCCACGTAGCGATTAATTTTGAATGGAGCCTTCACATGAATAGTCGCCTAACGTTCAGAAAGGGCGAAATAGTCTCGGGCACCTGAAACAGAAACCGTGACACATTGCGTTGGTGCTTGGTCAGATCATGATGCACGCAGGCGACCACCCTGCGCCGTGTCCAGGGACTCCGAGCGACGGCACCCCGCGGTGGTATCCGGCCCCAGCACATCAGCCGATCGGCAGACCAGCGGCCGCGCAGCCGACCAGGGACCGAGCAGCCGATCAGCCGAAGAGCCGAGGAAGCCGAACGGCCGATGGGCCGGACACTACGCATGCACGACTGACCTCATGGGGCCCGATGTCTGGAAGCCCCAGGTTGCAGTGAATCTCGACACCTTTGGGCCCCGAGGGGGCTGATGGTGAGGATCAGGGAGGAGGGATGCTGGAAGAGGGGCGAGGGAGTGGGATGAGGGCTGAGGGAAGAGGGGTCATGGGTTCGGGGTGTGGCGTGGCGATGAGAGGCGACAGACGACGGCGGGCGAAGAGCCTGAATGAACCCTGCAAGGACCTGGCGGTCAAATTTGATGGAAGGATGAAGCGGGGACAACGAGAGAGGGAGGAACAAATATGCGGAAGGGGCGGCGTTCACAGGCAGCGGAAACGAGGTCGAGACGAATAATGAGGACGACCCGGAGCAAGGCAAAGAAAGAACGCGTTTCTTTATTTTCAGCACTAACGGGCGTCATTGGGGGGGGGGCCGGGGGGGTGTAACTGTATGACGTAACGACCCACCCCCGCCCGTGTGGATCCGGCACCACAGCCGCGCCCGCACGCACGACGACGATGACCGACGAACGACGACGACGACGACAACGAGGGGGGGGGAATTAAATGGTAGCGCTTCCGCGTGCACCGCAACGCCTGCGCGCACGAGAAACGACCAGGGGCCACGAGCCACGACCAGTTCAGCAACATGCGCGCACCACAGTGCCTGCGTGCACCAAAAGACCTGCGTGCACCTCTGGAAACTATTGGGTCTCGACGGGGCCAAATGCCAGAAAATCGTGGGGGCGGCCGATGTCATCAAACTCCATCTGCGAATTGATTGTGATTATTGTGCTTTCTTGCCCTGCGTGCACCCCTGCACTTTGAGCCCACCACGCCCGTGCACGCCATGGCCACCCGGCGCACCACAGCGCCCTTGAAAAGGAAGGCCAAGGAATGGGGAGGGCAGGCAATGGTAGCGCTCCTGCGTGCACCACAACGCGTGCGCGCACGAGCCACGACCAATGCCACAAGCCACGATCATGTCAGCACCATCTGCGTGCACCATAATACCTGTGCGCACCACAAGTCCGCCGCACACATCTGGGGCCCCGACGGGACCAAGTGCAAGAAAATCGCAGGGGAGAAGTAGAAGGAGGGGGAGGAGGAGGAAGAGGAGGAGGAGAGGGAGGAGGCGAAGGAGGCGGAAGAGTGTTCATCGGGAACACAAAATCACAATTTCGGATCCCTGTGCGGATTCCAGTGCGGGTCCCTATGCGAACCCCTATGCGGATCCCTAGGCGGATCCCCTATGCGAATCCCTGCGCGAATCCCTATGCGGATGTTTATGCGGATCCCGATACGGATGCCTATGCGGATGCCCATTCGCATTGCCATGCGAAACCCAACGCGGATCGTTATGCGGATCAGTATGCGGATGCGCATGCGCATCCTTATGCGGATCCACATGAGCTTCCCAATGCGGACCAGACCCCGATGCGAATTCCTATGCGGACGCCTATGTGGATCCCGATGCGCACGGCGGCAATACCTGGAGCGCACTGGGGGGGGAGGCGTTACGTCATGGGGGGGGGGGCAGGGGCTATAACGCCCGCTGTCCAAAACAATACAAAAAAACGCTCAAGGGCGAAGTCGGATGGCCAGGAGGGCGCCTGCGTGAAGCAGATGCTCGCGGAGAAGATCATCAGCACGAGGAGGGCAACCGTCCAGATCAGGGAGGGCCTTCGAAGCGCCGACTTCGCGCCCCGCCCTCTCTGGCTGCCCCCCTCCCCCTCGTGGAAAGGCTTGGCGACTGCCTCTGCCCCCCGACGGTCAGGACGTTCGACCCCACTGCTTCTGCCGCGGCGGCTGATCCCCCTCTGCGCAGGAGCTTCCACGATGCCGCCAGACTTCGCAGGTCCTCCTCCTCTTCCGCCTCCTCCTCCTGCTCCTCCTCCTCTTCCTCCTCCTCCTCCTCCTCCTCCTCCCTCCTCCTTCTTCTCCTCCTCCTCCTCCTCCTCCTCCTCCTCCACCTCCTCCTCCTCCTCCTCCACGATTGGGTAACCCAACAGGGGGTCCAGCTGAAAGAGGGTGGTGCAATATATCTGGGGCAATTGTAGTGCAAATGTGTCGCGCCGGAGATTCGTTTGGCATTGTATTGCAAGTAATGTATTGCACACGGAAAACCAGCCATCTGCGCCCAGGGATGTACTGCACGCCCCAAGCGTATTGCAACCCCACATATCTATTGCACCAAATCTATTGCACCACCCCCTTGTCGCTGGACTCCATTTTGGGTCAACCAGGCTCAATTACACAATATGAATACTACTCTCCTCTCTCCCTGGTGACGTCCGGGAAATATTTGGCTCTCCTCCGCGTGCTGCATTCTTACACACAGGGTTCCCTGGAAACGAGTTGTCGCTTGGGCTTTTGTCAAAATGCTGCTCTCGCCGAAGCGCTGGCCTCATTTGTCGGGCTTCCGCTCGTTCCGAATCGTGCTCCCGCAACAGCGCTGGCGCCATTATTTCCAGCGCCATGCCACTGCATGGTTTTCGGTTCTTCTAAATAGGCCCAAAATCGAAAAAAACATGCCCCCCGAAACAACCATCGGAAGGCATTCCACATTTGGTGGCGATTCGTGGATTTTGCTGGGTCGCAGAAGCCCCCCCCCCTTGGGGCGTCGCCACGCCACGCTTTGTCAAGCTACGCGTCCTCCGAATCGTGCTCCCGCTGCAGCGCTGGCCTCATTTCCGCGCTTCCTCTCGTTCCGAATCGTGCTCCCGCTGCAGCGCTGGCGTCATTATCTCCAGCGCCATGCCACGGCATGGTTTTCGGTCCTTCCAAGTAGGCCCTAAACTCAAAAAAAAATGCCCCCCGAATCAACCATCTGAAGTGATTCCACTCGATTCGTTGATTGGTTGGGCCGCAAAAGCGCCCCCCCCTTTGGGGCGTCGCCACACCATGCTATGACATGCAATGCTATGCCCTGCTACGACATCCGACTGTGTGAACAGATGGAAGATCTACGCCATGGTAAGGGATGGGAAGGAGGGGTAGGACGTCAGATATGACGCGAGCGCACCTAGCTTGTCCTCCCCCCTCCCCCCACTCCCTCCCTCCCTCCCTCCCTCTCTCGCGCCTCCTCCTCTTCCTCCTCCTCCTCCTCCTCCTCCTCCTCCTCCTCCTCCTCCTCCTCCTCTTCCTCCTCCTCCTCCTCCTCCACTGTCCACTCATGTTTGTGTTTCTCCTCCTCCTCCTCCTCCTCATCATCATCCTCATCATCATCACCATCACCATCATCATTATGTTCATCATCATCATCATCAGCAGCAGCATCAGGATCAGCATCAGCATCAGCAGATTCATCAGCATCAGCATCAGCATCAGCATCAGCATCAGCAGCATCATCATCATCATCATCATCATCATCATCATCATCATCATCATCATCATCATCATCATCATCATCATCATCATCATCATGAGCATCAGCATCAGCATCATCATCATCATCATCATCAGCATCATCATCATCACCACCATCCAACTTCTACCTCCTCCTCTCCCTCCTATGCCAGGCCTGATCCCAATTCTGACGCGGCCAGGCCGTCTTAACCAAGTGCCTGCTCCGTTCACGTGACCGATCGATCGATCGGCCAGAAGAGGAAGAGGAGGAGGAGGAGGAGGAGGAGGAGGAGGAGAAGGAAGCAGCAGCAGAGAAAAAGGTAGCCGCGCGTCGCTTGAGGCTGGCTGGCTCGCAAAGCCGCGCGCCAGTGCCTCAGCCTCCCCCTGGGGGCAGTGCGGACGGGGCGATTGGCGTGCAGCGTACTGGCAGGGCCCCGCGCCCAGCTGCTTCTCTCTCTCTCTCTCTCACTTATCGGGTGGGGGTCGAAGGCGCTGCCATCTACCCGCCCCGCGGTGGGCCGCTGGCGGGCACCGTTGCGGGGACACTGGGCGCAGCCCGCTCAGAGTGTGCGCGGCAGCGGCCAGAGCAGGAGGAGGAGACTTTAGCATGAAAAAGACGGGTCCTGAGGGAAACGGTTCGGGGACACGGGGGCCTTCCCGCAGGACCAGGTCTTTGTCCCAAGTCGTTCTCTGCCGTTCAGGGGGCCCGTGGAGCGGGAGCCAAAAACAACGAAACTCACAGGACCCGCTTCCCTCAGGAGTCGCTTCCTTCATGGCGAAGACTCGTGGACGTCGGCCGATCGCGATCTGTGACCGGCGATCGGCGGGGTGGCAGGTGGCAGTGGCGCTCTAAGGGCGGGCATGGTCTTCCCGATCGAGAGGACCTTTGCTGGCGGGCCGGCCAATGGTTTGGGGAAGGGCCCAAGCAGCAGCGGGGGGGAGGAGCAGCAGCAGGGAGTAGGCGTATCCTCTTAATTTGCCTGGCGCCCAAAGAAATAAATTGTTTTAACCACGACGCTTGCATGGCACGAGATCTGATGACCGGAGCGAAGGCAATAACCTAACTTAATTGTCCATATTCTTCTGCCTGGTGTGCTTGCCTTATGTGAAATCCGCCACCTTGCCGCTGGTCACGGAGTGGGCGTGTCCTCAGTGTGCCACGTCCCTAATGCCTCACTCCTCGCTCTTAGGGCCCGGACCCCGAATCCTTAAATCTTCTTGGGCTTGGCGCAGTTCCCCTGGACTCCAGGGCATCTTCTCGCATGACATGTTCGGGCCCGAGACAACAAGAGGGCCCCCCAAAAACCCAAGACGGTCCAAGAGGGCCTCGAGGCGCCAAATGATCGTTCCAAGACGCCCAAAATGGCCACCAGATGGCCCAGAAGCACCCAAGACACACCAAGAGGCCTTCAAAGAGCCTCACAAGAGAACCCGAAGAGGCACATTTAATCCCACCAATGTTTTGGGCGACAGGTTGTCGAAGGAAGGTCCCGTTCCTCTTCCACAACCCCGCTTTCCTGCGGGAAGGTGACCCTCCCCCTCCCCTCCATGAGATTTGTTTGGGAGGTTTCGCGAGGTGTCGATTACTTGTTCGCGTCGTGCGTGCGGGCAAGGCGAAGCTGCGCAAGCGGGGAGAAGAAGAAACCCTCCTCTGGCTAAGGCGCTGCCAAGCCACAAGTCTCCCCCCCCATCCCTACGGTTGGCTGGCAGAGGCTGGAGGCGTCTCGCCGTATTGTCTCGATGGTGTCCCGCGGTGTCTCGCGGTGTCCCGCGGTGTTCCGATGGTATTCAGATGGTGTCCCATGAAATCGGATGTCAGCGACATCGATGATGAGATCAATAACGAGATCGATTGTGAAGCCCATAGCGTCAACGATAATGCGACCGGATGGTGTCTCGTGGTGTCCTGGGGTGACCCGCGGTGTCCCGTGATGTTCCGTGATGTCTCGTGCGATCGATGGTGAGATCGATAGCGAGATCGAGAGTGAGATCGATCATGAGATCGACAATGAGATCGATAGGGTGATCGAGAGTGAGATCGAGAAAGAGAACGACCGCTGCCCCCCCATGTCCCGTGCTGGCCTGTAGTGTCCCGTGGTGTCTCGTGAAATCGATAGTGGTGTCGATAGTGGTGTCGATAGTGGGATCGAACGTGACATCGATAGTGAGATCGAAAGTTGGATCGCCAGTGTAAACGCTTGAGTGAGACGCATGCTCCTCCCCCGCCCTCGAGCCTCCTTCTCACCCGAAGGGAGGTCGTATAGGTAGATGCCTCATTGCAAATACAATGATCGGGCCTACACGAACCGACACAAGCGACTGATTTGTTCCAAGACCACTCCAAGAGCTCCCCGAGAGGCATCCCAAGAGACCCTCACATGCATCAAAGAGGCCTCTGAACCAAAGCCCAGGCACGGTGGCGGGATGGGCCGGAGGCCACTAGATCCGCCGCCCCCTGTCGATTCATCGCAGGGGTGCCTGGCGTGCTAGATGATTTCGGTTTGGGTTTTGTTCTTTTCCAAAAGAACTCCTCTCAGGGCTCCGGCGCGTCCCGCGGGGGTCCCGGGAAGGATCTCAAAACGCATCCGTCGATGCCTTTGCTGCCCCAAGTTGGCCCAAGATGGCCTCCACGACGGCCAAGATGGCCCAGGATGGCAGGATGGCCTCCAAGTTCGCCCAAGATGGTCCAAGATGGCCTCCAAGACGGCCCAAGAGGGTCCAAGATGCCTTCTAAATCGTCCAAGAAGCCTCAAAACGGGCCAAGATGGCTCCAAGATGGCCTCAAAATGTCCCACGAGGGTGCCAAGAGGTCCCCAGGAGAGCCCGAAGAGCCAACACTCATTGATTGTCCAATGGTTTACACATGATTTTGACATATTCTCCCTTTAAGCCTTCCCGCTGTCCAAGACGGCCTAAGAGGCCCCCAAGATCGTTGGGGGCTCTTGGGCCGTGTTGGGCCGTCGGAAGGCCGACAAGAAGCAAATGTCAAAATCCTTCAAGAACCTTGGGAACATCAATGTGTTTTTCACCTTCTCTGGCCTTCCTGGAGGCCTCTTGGAGGCCTTTTGGGCCGTCTTGGGCCAGCTTTGAGCCAACTTCGGCCATCTTGGTGGGTTCCTGGCCCGTCTGACGCCGTCGGGATCCGTCTTGGGGGCCTCTCTGAACCGGCTTGGGGCCCTCTTGGGGCGCTTCGGGGCCGTATTGGAGGCCATCTTGGGCGTCTTGGATGCCTCTTGGCCCGTCTTGGGGCCCTCTTGGGGCCGTCTTGGGGGCCTCTTGGGCCGTCGTGGGGCCATCTTGGAGGCCTCGTGGGGGCCCTTGGGCCGTCTCGGGCCGTCGGAAGGCAGAACAAAAAGCAAAGGCCACAATCCTTCAAAAACTCATTGGAAATCAATGTTTTTCGCCTTCTCGGGCCTTCCTGGAGGCCCTTCTTGGAGGCCTTTTGGGTCATCTTAGGGCCATTTTCGGCTGTCTTGGTGGGCTCCAGGCCCGTCTGACGCCGTCGGAAGCAGTTTTGGGGGCCTCTCTGGGCCGACTTGGGGCCCTCTTGGAATGCTCCAGGGCAGTCTTGGAGGCCATCTTGGGCGTCTTAAAGGCTTCCTGTTCCGTCTTGGGGGCCTCTTGGGGCCGTCTTGGGGGCCTCTTGGCCCGTTCTGGGGCCATCTTGGAGGCCTCTTTGGGCGATCTTTGGGCGATCCCAAGACGGCCCCAAGAGGCCCCCAAGGCGGCCCAAGAGGCTTCCACGACGCTCAAGATAGCCTCCAAGACGGCCCAAGAGCCCTCCAAGACGTCCTCCAAGAAGGCCCGAAAGGGTTTCAAATGACCTCCAGACGGCCAAGACGACCTTCAAGATGCCCACGTGTTCCCCGAAGGCTTTCCAAACCGATTCGGGGAACACATGGTCCGATAGCTTGGCAGGTCTGGCCTCAACGTTCGGCCACATAGGCGCTTACAAAAAGACAGGGGGCGGCGGAGATTCGCCGTAGGCGTCTTCGATCCGCCGCCCCCTGTTAGCTTGCCACAGGGGTGCCCCGCGTGCTAGACCCTTTCAGTTTTGGTTTTAGTTTTTTTCAAAAGAACTCCCCCTGGGGCTTCGACCCGTCCCGCCTGCCACCTGGAAGGGATTTCAATCCTGGCTCAAGATGGCCTCCAAGATGGCAACGATGGCCCAAGATGGCCTCCAAGATGGTCCAACATGGCCTCCAAGTCCGCCCAAGATGGTCCAAGACGGCCTCCAAGACGGCCCAAGAGAGTCCAAGATACCTCCAAAGTCGCCCAAGAAGCCTCCAAGACACCCCGACACGACCCAAGAGGTCTCCAAGAGGTCCTCCAGGAGGGCCTGAAGATGCCAAAATCCTCGGTTTTCGTAGGTTTTGGAAAAGGAATTTGGCATTTGATTCTTCTCGGCATTCCGACGGCTCAAGACGGCCCAAGAGGCCCCAAAGATCGCCCCGAGATCGCCCACTAGGCCTCCAAGATGGCCCCACGACGGCCCAAGAGGCCCCCAAGACGGCCCCTAGAGGGCCCCAAGACGGGCCAAGAGGCATCCAAGACGGGGCCTCCAAGACGGCCCCGAAGCGCCCCAAGATGCATCCAAAACGGCCCAAGATGCACCCAAGACGGCCCAAGATGGCCTTCGGATGGCCTAAGACGGCCCAAGAGGCTCCCAAGAGGGCTCCAAGACGGCCCAAGAGGCCTCCAAGAGGTCCTCCAGGAGTGCCCGAAGAGACCCAAATCATTGATGGTCCTAAGGTGTTTGACGGATTTTGGCACTTGTTTCTTTTCGGTATTCCGACGGCTCAAGACGGCCCAAGAGGCCCCAAGATCGCCCACGAGGCCTCCGAGATGGCCCCATGACGGCCCAAGAGGCCCCCAAGACGGCCCCAAGAGGGCCCAAGGTGCCTCCAAGACGGCCAAGATGGCCTCCGAGACGGCTAAGATGGACCCAAGATGCCTCGAAGACGGCCCAAGGTGCACCCAAGATGGCCTCAAGATGGGCCAAGACGGCCCAAGAGGCCCCCAAAAAAGGCCTCCAAGACGGCCGAAAAGGCGTCCAAGAGGTCTTCCATGAGGGCACGAAGAGGCAAAAATTGCTGATTGCCGTAAGGTGTTTAAAAGATTTTGGCATTTGCTTCTTCTCTGCATTCCGACGGCTCAAGACGGCGCAAGAGGCCCCCAAAACCGCCCCAGAGGCCTCCAAGATGGACCCATAACGGCCCAAAAGCCACCCAAGACGCCCCCAAGAGGGACCCAAAACGGCCCAAGAGGCCTCCAAGACGCCCAAGATGGCCTCTAAGAACCCCTAATATGCCCCAAGAGGGCTCCAAGACGACCTAGACAGGCCCCCTAAGACTGCTTCCGACGGCGTCGGGCACGCCAGGAACGCCCTAAGACGGCCAAAGAGGCCCCCAAGAAGCCCCCCAAGGCCCCCGAAGACCCTCCAAGAGGCCCCCAGGAAGCTCCCAGGAGGCCCCAAAGTGCCCCAAGAGGCGCCCAAGAGGCCTCCTCCTCCTCCTCCGCCTCCTCTGTTTTCCTCTTCCCCCCCCCTCCTCCTCGTCTTGCTCCCCCACGCGTTCACCGAAGTCTTTGCAAACCGACTCGGGGAACAACTGGCCCGATAGCTTGGCCAAGCTCTGGCCCAGCTGTCGGCCACAGAGGCGCTTCCAGAGGGGCAGGGGGCGGCGGTGATTCGCTGTAGGCGTCTTCGATATTTCCAAACGATTCTGCCCGCACTTGGAGACTCTGTACGATCGCACTGTTCGCCTAGCTTGACGACCCTGCCGCCCGTGCTGTAAAGTGGCAACAGCAAGTGGTAGGAAGGATGGGGGTAGGAGGGGGGGAAGAGAGGGAGGAGGGGAGGAAGATGGGCTTCTTCTGATGATCATGACCACAGCGCGATCCCAATCAGGAACCTCCTCACTTCCGAAGCAATGCGCTGCACAGCAAGGCAATGCGATGAGAAGCGCTTAAACACAAAGCGCTTCAAGGCAGCGAAAAAGCATTGCTTCAAGGGCGAGAAAAAGAACAGCGCCAAGAAAAGCAGCGCACAGAAAAGCTCTGAAAGCGAAGCAAGACACAGGAAGCGATTGCATTGAACATGTGTCGAAGCAAGGCGCAGCAAAGCTGGGCAAGGGACCCCCCAGCGCCCCACGCGACCCGACCACGCGACCCCCAGGGTGAACTTGCGATACGTCCAAGAGGAGGGCGTCCAACAGGGAGGGTCGCCAATCATGGCCCAAGGCATGTGCGTGGCCCAAATGGGGGGGGCCAAGGGACGCATACAAGTAAGAAGAGGCGCCGGAGCAACAGCGAGCAAAGCGAGGCGCAGGCGGAGCCGGGGCCGGCGCCAGCGTGCGCAGCTCCTGGATCAGGCTCAGCACCCGCAGCAGCCGCAGCACACGCAGCAGGCGGAGCACCTGGTGGGCGGCCACGCCGCACGCGGCCGCAGAAGCCGCAGGGCCCAACAGGCGGATGCAGTCGCCGCAGTCGACGACGACGACGATCACGGCGATCGTGGCGGCGCCAATGCCGACAAGCGTGCGATAGCGGATGACGGAGACAAAGACGACGAACACGACGAAGAGGAGGAGGAGGAGGACGACGACGACGAGGGCGACGAGGACGACGACGACGACGACGAAGACGACGACGACGACGAAGACGACGACGACGACGCTGGAGGCAGCGGCGGCGGCGGCGGACGACGGCGATGCGACGGTGACGCTGCTCAGGAGGCCTGCGGGCTGGACCGCGCTGGCGGCCGGGGGCGTGGCCCGCCGGGCTCCCGAACACATTTCGGGGATCGCCGCGGGCCCCCCCTCTTGGCGGTGCGCACCAGGGGGCTGCTTCTCAGAAAGAGGCTGCCTCTGAGAAGGCGCCGACCTATCTCTGCAGGTGCGTAAGGCCCGCGCCTGGTAAGAAGCAGGGGTGCTTCTCAGAAGGAGGCTGCTTCTTAGAGGGAGGGGTTGCTTCTCAGAGGGAGACTGCCTCTTAGAAGGCGCCGGTCTACATCTGCAGGTGCGCAAGGACCGCGCCTGGTAAGAAGCAGGGGTGCTTCTCAGAGGGAGGCTGCTTCTTGGAGGGAGGGGCTGCTTCTCAGAGGGAGGCTGCCTCTTAGAAGGCGCCGGTCTACATCTGCAGGTGCGCAAGGCCCGCGCCTGGTAAGAAGCAGGGGTGCTTCAACAATAACCCTGCCGCATCCCCCTGCCCCGCTCTGCGCGTGGCTGGCCCTTCCTGAAGCGCTCCGCGCGCCGGTGGCGTCGCTGACAGTGACGCCCAGGGGGGGCCGGCGCCGATCCAGGATCTCTGCGGGCCCTCGAACATGATGTTTTCTGCGCCTCTGCAACGTGCTCTTCGCCAGCGCCGTCGTCGAAGACGAAGCTCGGACCAGGGCAGAGTCGGACCGGGGCACCTCGAGGCTCTCTGCGATCTGGCGCTTCCGGAAGACGTGTCGGGCGCCGCGCCCGTTCCGGAGCGCCCTGGGGCGCTCTGGGGGCGCTCTGGAACGCTCTGGGCAAATGCACCCCAGGCCTAGCCCCGCTCGGCCGCCGAGGCCGCAGCGGGCCGCCAGAGGCCGTCGCCGCACCCGGGATGGTCGTGGTCTCCAGCACTGTGACCCTCCGCTTACACTTCCTCCCCATCCACCTCCTCCTTCGACTGGGGGATCGCTGCAGAATCGATCTACCCCGTAATTGGTTTCCCGCTGAATCTTCAAGAAATACGTGGGAACCTGTTTTTTGTTTCTATTTTCCGGGATCGCGGCCGTCACCTGCCCCGCCCCCACCACCACCCCAGATCACGTCACGTTCCGCGCCGGCGGCGTCCAAAAATGCATAGAGATGCCCGAGGCCAAGTAGGAGCACCATGTAGGTGGCGATCTGCACAACAGCGCCTGTGTACACCACAATGCTCGCGTGCACCACAGCGCGCGTGTACACCACAGCGCCTGCGTACACCGCAACAGCCGTGTGCAACGCAGCGCCTGTGTACACCACAGTGCTTGCGTGTACCACAGGGCCTGTGTAAATCACAGCGAATGTGCAGACCGTAGCAACCATGTGCAACACAGCGCCTGTGTACACCACTATGCTTGCGTGCACCGCAGCGCCTGTGCACACCACAGCGCCTGCGTGAACAGGACAGGTAGAAGGAGCATGTAAGTGAGGATCTGCTGCGGACGAACAAACACCATGCAAGGGAAATGCTGATAACAAAATGCGATGTGTTTCACTCCTCCCTCCTCCTCCTCCCCCTACTCTTCCCCCATCCTGCTCCTACTCCTCCTCCTCCGCCTCTGCCTCCGCCTCCGCCTCCGCCTCCTCCTCCACTTCCTCCACCACCTCGTCCTCCTCCTCCTCCTCCTCCCTCTCCTGCTCCTCCTGTTCCTCCTGCTCCTCGTCCTCCTCTCCTTCTCCTTCTTCTGCGTAGTAGTAATTTTACGAATATTATGAGTATTGATACATTCTTAGTGTTAGTGCCAATATGATTCGTAGTACCAGCTGTTATTAGTATTATTAGTACGTGTTATCATTGCTATCACGAGCTCTAGAATAGCATCATCAATAATACGATATGCATTCTTACTAGCAGTACTAGTCTTACATGTCTTATTCACATTGTCAGCTTTCTGACTACATGTACTGCTCGTCTTATTCATCGTGCTAGTTATAGTATGTATGCTATTCGCTGTAAAAAACAAAGCATGATTATCAGTTGTGGTATCAGTCTTTCTTATGCTTCGTCATAGTCATCTTCTTCGCAATCGTCCTATGGCCTAATCAGAGCGTGCCTCTGTAGGTGTCCTAGCGGACTCACATGGTGAAACGAAACTTGGAGACGATTTCGGCGGCACGCCCGGGTGCCCGGGTGCCCGGGTGCCCAGGTGCCCAGGTGCCCAGGTGCCCGGTAGCCCTATAGCCCTACAGCCCTATGGCCTTATAGCCTTATAGCCCAATAGCCCTATAGGCCTATAGCCCCTACAGCCCTATAGTCCTATAGGTCTATATCCCTAACAACCCTAAAAGCCACATAGTCTGATAGCCCAATCGCCCTATAGCCCTATAAGCCAATAGCCCTATAGCCCTATAGCCTAGAGCCTTCTAGCCCTATAGACCTATAAGCCCTGTAGCCCCATAGCTCTATAGCCCTATTATTACCCGTATTATTGCTCGTAGTCTTTTTCGTGTAATATTAATAAATGTTTTGCTATCGTCCTTATGTGTATGCTTCTTATTATTCGCAACATTGAATTATTATTATCCCTTTTCGTCCTCCACCTCCTGCTCCTCCTCCGCCGCCTCCGCCTCCGCCTCTGCCTCCACCTCAGACTCCTCCTCCTTTTCCTTTTCCTCCTCCTCCTCCTCCTCCTCCTCCTTGTCCTCCTCCTCCTTCTCCTCCCTCACCCTTCCCCCCATCGTGCGGGTCGGCACTAGAGCGCACGTGCGCATCTCAGTGTGCACTGCAGAGTGGTCGATTGAATCCGTCCATTTGATTCTCGGACGGCCAAGTCTACGGGAGCCTTGTGAACGCAGATCGAAAGAGTTAGGATGATGCGGGATGACTCGGGAAGATTCGTAGAGTCCAGCAGCGCTCCTTTTTCCCTAAGGATTTCTTTCCACATCTAATATAAAGCAATTTTCTGTGGAATCCAGAAGGCTTCTCAATAACAACCACGATACAACGACGGTGCTCTGTTGCACACGGTTGCTGTGGTACACACACACACACGAGCCGTGGTGTACACAGGTTCTGTGGTGCACACAGGCACGGTGGTGTACGTTGGTGCTGTGTTGCACGCGGCTCCTGTCGTGTACGCAGGCGTTGTGGTGTACACAAGCGCTGTAGTGCACGCGGGCATTGTGGTGCACACTAACACTGTGTTGCATTCGGCTCTTGTGGTGTACGTAGGCGCTGTGGTGTAGACAGGCGCTGTGGTGCACGCAGGGACCGTCGGTGTCGTCATCCGCCCCCCTGCCCTCAATTGGGAAGCAACTGCTGGGAGGTCATGGCCAGAAAGATCAGGGAGGATTCAGCCCCATTGCGGGGCTGTTACGCCAGAGTGCGCTTCGGATTAAGCGGGATTAACCAGGATTGAGCGGGATTAAGCGGGGTTGAGCCGGACTTCGGACCAGGGCCAAATCAGAATCCCACCAGCCCTTTGGGCGTGAGTGGTTTAGAGAGCCCGCTCTGTCCTCAACCCCCCTTCTTCCCCGTCGGGGAGGGGTTTACCCCTCCCCCTACCCCCTCCCCCTGGGCCTGGAGAGGGAGTCCCGAGTGGTGTCAAGGGGGTCTTTTCGACTCCTGGCAGGGCTAAAAACGACGACCCTCACGAGGATTCTGGCCCCGACGGGGGGACCGAGTTTGGCCCCTCTGCTCTTCTTTGAAGCCACAATCATTGATTTTACTATGGTTTTGGCCTCATTTTGGCCTCCTGAGGCGGCCGCGCTCATCTTCCTTCATAGCAAAATCACTGATTTTACGAAGGTTTTGGGCTCATTTCGTCCTTCTCAGGGGGCAGCGCTCACTTGCGCTTCTGAGGAGGTCGCAAGAGGCCCCAAGATGGCCCCAAGAGGCCCCCAGGAGGCTCCCAAGAGGCCTCCCAGAGGCCCGCCCCCAAGAGACCCCACGAGGCCCCCAAGAGGCCCCCAAGAGGCCCCCAAGAGGCCCCAAGAGGCCCCCAGAGGCCCCCAAGAGGCCCCCAAGAGGCCCCCAAGAGGCCCCCAAGAGGCCCTCCCCCCAAGAGGCCCCACGAGGAGCCCGAACGACTCACACCAGGACGAGGGGCCCGAACGACTCACACCACGAAGAGCCCGAACGACTCACACCACAAGGAGGGCCCGAACGACCCATCACACCGAGGCGCCCGAACGACTCACACCAGGACGAGGGGCCCGAACGACTCACACCACGAAGAGCCCGAACGACTCACACCACAAGGAGGGGCCCGAACGACTCACACCAGGACGAGGCGCCCGAACGACTCACACCACGAGGAGCCCGAACGACTCACACCACGACGCGGGCCCCGAACGACTCACACCACGAGGAGCCCGAACGAGTCACACCAGGAGGAGGGGCCCGAACGACTCACACCAGGACGAGGGGCCCGAACAACTCACACCACGAGAAGCCCGAACGACTCACACCAGGACGAAGAGCCCGAACGACTCACACCACGAAGAGCCCGAACGACTCACACCAGGAAGAAGGGCCCGAACGACTCACACCAGGACGAGAAACCCCAAACGACTCAAATCACGAGGAGCGCTTTCTCTCCCTCCTCCTCCGCCTCGTCCTTCTCCCGCTCCCCCCACAAGGAGGATGTACAAGGAGGCGGGAGGAAGGAGGAACAGGGGAGATATGCGGGGCCAAGCGGACACACGCCTGAAAAACACGACTGTCGGCATGCTTCGCAAGAGTTGCTGCTGTGAGATGGGCTGGTGGGGATACGCGAAGCGTAAAGAATTTGACCTCCCAGGAGTTGCATCCGAACCTCAAGAATCGCGTGGCGCGTGTTTTGGCTACTGTCGTTGCTCAGCATTTCATTGATACTGCATCCGCTCTCCGATTCATCCTGCTGCTCCCCGAAGATGAAGACTGAAACAAAAATAGAAAAACATGTGAAACGAAAGCTCGGGCAGGACCCCCAGCGCAACTAAGCTGAGCACACAGCGTGCCACACCAGATCGCCCGAATATAAGAATCGGATCGGATCGAGCTGGAGGCGGTCCGCATCGAACCGGATCGATATGCGTCTATACTGCGTGATGCAAATCGAGTCGAGCTCGAATCGAGCTGATCCAGCAGAAGACCCCAGAAAAGGTCCCCCGGAAAGGAGCATATCATGAACGCGACCATCCAAGCAGCGAGCTGTCCGCTGACGCATCATCACGCATCCGCGACGAAAACGGCAGCAAACGCAAGGTCAATTGCAGTCATTGCACTGCCACAGGGAACGCTGGAGAAGGAACGAAGTTACCACGGTGAGCCCTGGCCACGAAGAGGCGCAACGGCCTGCATGTAAGGAACGGCCCGAGAGCCAGAAAGCCGCCGGAGTCCCGACGTGGTCCTTGCCTCGGCGCCTTGGCCTTCTTCGCGACCGGAGCCCCGCAGAAGCAAGAGCAGCCAGCCTTCCGAACGTGCCCGCCGAGGGCAGATGCGCAGCTGGTTCGGCGGGCGGGCCCTTAAGCCAGAACGGTCACGGAGCGGAAAAAAGCGGTTGGGAGCGCGGTCCACCGTCACTGGCTGGAGACAGCTGTGCAAGGGGGGGTCAGAAACCAAGGGACCCCCCCACTCCCCCCAACTCGCCATCGCTCGGACGTCCATTCCCTGTGTGTTTTTCGATTTCGTGCGTGGTTTTGTCGGCAAATGGTCAAGGATGCTCCTCGATGGCCCTCGCCGAGGAACAAACGCACACGTCCGAGCGATGACAGGCCAAAGAATACATCCTAAGGTGGGGGTCAGAAACCGGGGGAACCCCCCCGACCTCCGCCCCTCAAAGCCGCCCGCCCCCAAAGAAGAGAACCCGGGGGATCTGGACAACAGGGGAACTCATTCGGGAGGATCCCCTTCCCCCTGTTACTCGACCTGCTCTTCTCTACTCGACTCACTCTAACCTGATCCGCATCTCCCTAAGCTACTCTACTCTACCCTGCCCTGCTCTACTATACCGTGTCCAACCCGACTTTACTCGACGCTACTCTACTCCTATCGTACTCTCCCATACGCCTACTCAACTCAACTCTGCTCGTCGTCTCCGTCGTCGTCAATGTCGTCGGCGTCGGCGTCGTCAGCGTCGTCGTCGTCGGCGGCGGCTTCGGCGTCGGCGTCGGTGTCAGCATGGGCATCGTGTCCGTCGTGTCCGTCGTGGTCGTCGTACGTCGTCGTCATCGTCGTCGTCGTCGGCGGCGTCGTCGTCGTCGTCGTCGCCGTCGTCGTCGTCGTCGTCGTCGTCGTCGTCGTCGTCGTCGTCGTCGTCGTCGTCGTCGTCGTCGTCGTCGTCGTCGTCGTCGTCGTCGTCGTCGTCGTCGTCGTCGTCGTCGTCATCGACGTCGTCGTTAGCGTCGTCGTCGTCGTCGTTATCGTCGTCGTCATCGTCGTCGTCGCTGTGGTCGTCGTCGTCGGCAATGTCCGCGTCGTTTGCTGACAGCAGCGACGTCGGACGTCGGACAACGTCGTCGTCGTCGCCGGGGGGGGGGGGGGTTCTGGAACCCCCGGATCATTTCTGTGAGGGTGGGTGGGTTCTGGACCACCCCGGATAATTGTCCCGGGGGGGGTGAAGTTGAACTCCCCCCTGCCAGTAGCGGCAGAAAGCGCTCTTTCGAAGGGCAGGAGGAGTAGCAGCATCTGCGGCGTGCAGCAGGAGGCAGAAGTGGTGGAGGAGGAGGACGAAGATGAGGCGAAGAATGAAGAGAGGAACGATGGGAATGTGACGTGGACCGGGCTGGCTGGTGTGGTCCAAGTATGGGAAATCTGAGCTTACTTGTGTATGCCCAGCGAGCCCTCAAGATGCGCAGCATGCTGAAACCAGTGTTCTCGGCTTCCTTCTGGCTGGCCAAGGCCATGTATGTGGTGACCTCCTCGAACACCTGGCCCAGATTATATTTTGAATGTACTCAGTTCTGACAAGGCTACACACACTCCCTTTCCCACCAGCCGTTTGTCCCAACATCTCTACCTAGACTACATGACAATTGGAACATCGAAGAGCGAAAAGCCAAAGTCGTGCATTACGGATGCAGTCATGTTGCATTCCTCGTGACAGGAGATTGCAAGAACTTGCCATGGTATGGCGCACTCCCATCCTCCCTCTACCTCTCCCGTCCACCCCCCATCCCTTCCCACGGCACAGCCCAAGACAATCGCCAGAGGGCTGAGGACTGGCCCAGGCGGAGGTAGAAAGGAAAAGATGGATGTGGAGGAACAGGGGAGAAGGAGGCCGCAGAGAAAGAAGCAGAAGGGAGGATGAAGAGGGAACGGGGAAGGCGGAGAAAGGCGAGGGGGGAGGAGGAAACAACACATGGTACACGTGCCATGGCTCTTGCACAGAAGGGAGGGGGAAGGAGGAGGAGGAGGAGGAGGAGGAGGAGGAGGAGGATGTGAAGAAGGAGGACGGGGAAGGGATATAGGGTGCGAGAAATCGGAGAAGGAGGACCCAACGAGGGCCGCAGGATGGGCTTGATCGGACGAGTTCGAGGAGGCTCCAAGGGCCCTCCCCCGCGAGATGGCCTCCAAGACTTCCAACATGCTCCCAGGGGGCCTCCAACAAACACCCAAAAAATCTACAAAGGATCCGAAGAGCTCCCCGAGGGCCCGAAACGGAGGCGGAGGGGGCACGGGGCGGGCGGGGGTTCCACTGGGCCGCTGGGGAACGCTGGGGAACAGGGGGAATGGGGGGCGGGGGCGGGGCGCGCCGTGCGACGCGGAATAAAATGGTCGGGGCGGAGGGGAACACTGGGCGGAGGGTCCACTGGGCCGCTGGGGAACGCTGGGGAGAGAAGGGATGGGAGGCGGGGAGGGGGGGCGAGGTGCGACGCAGAGTGAAATTACACCGTAGAAACCCCAATCAGTGGATGATGACTCGAAAATGAGTACCATGGATCTTGAGATCCATTGTGTGATCGATAGTGGAATCGATAGTGAGGACGATTGTAAGGTCGATCGTGAGACCGGTAGTGAAGTCGATTCAATGAAAACGGTAGTGAGATCGATCGTGAGATCGCTCATGCGATCTGTAGTGAGATCGATAGTGAGATCGATTGTGAGATCGATAGTGAGATCGATGGAGAGGTGGGTAATGAGATCGATGGTGAGACCGATCGATAAGAAGATCGACCAGGAACACGGGAACCCAGGAACCTCGCCGCCCTCCGAAATCGGGAACCCGGGAACCCAGGAACCCAACGTGCGACCAAAATCGGCGGGGCACTTTCGCCAAATCCTTCAACATCCGCGAGGACCCCTTCAGTGCAAGCACTGATTGGGGAATAAAATGAGATCCGCAATGAACTCGACAATGAGATCGGTAGTGAGATCGATAGATAACCATCGGCCCGGAACCAATGATCAAGAACCCGGGAACCTGGGACCGGGAACCCGGGAACCAATGAGATCCGTAATGAACTCGACAGTGAGATCGGTAGTGAACCATCGGCCCGGAACCAATGACCAAGAACCCGGGAACCCGAGAACCCGGAACCGGGAACCCGGGAACCCAGCGTGCCACCAACATCGGCGAGGCACTTTCGCCAACTCTAGCAACATCCGCGAGGACCCTTCAGTGCAAGCACTGATTGGAGAATTGTCAGTGGGGGGGGGGGGCACAGGCGGTGGTTCCACTGGGCAGCTGGGGAACGTTGGGGCGGGGGGGAGGGTGGCGGGGGGAGGAGGAGGGGTGCGGCGGGGTGGGGCGCGATGTGACGCGAAATGATATGGTCGGGGTGGAGGGGTGGGGGCATCGGGCGGAGGTTCCACTGGGCCGCTGGGGAACGCTGGTGTGGGGGGGTGGGGGGGAGGGGCGGGGAATGGGGGGAAAGGTGCGGCGGAAAGCTGGGGAAGGGTGGGACAGGGGGGGGGGCGGGGAGGGGGAAGGCGCGGGGCAACGCGAAATAGAATAGTCAAGGCTAAGGGGCACTGGACGGAGGCTCCACGGGGCCGCTGGGGGACGCTGCCGAAAAGGGCGAGGGGGGTGGGGAAGGGGGGCGCGCGGCGCGACGCGAAATAAAAATGCCGGTGCGGAGGAAACACCGGCGGAAGTACCACTGGGCCGCTGGGGAACGCTGGGAATGGGGTAGGAAGGGGGCGGGGAGGGGGGGCGCGGTGCAACGCGGAATAAATCTGTTGGGGCGGCGGGAGCACTAGGCGGGCGGAAGCTCCACTGGGCCGCTGAAGAACGCCAGGGCGGGCTGGCATGGGGTGCGGGAAAAAAGAAGAGAAGGGGCAGGGCAGGGGAGGGGGTGGGGGGGGTGCGACGCGGAACAGAATGGTCGGGGCGGAGGGGGCACTGGGCGGAGGTTCCACTGGGCCGCTGGGGAACGCTGAGGAGGGGTAGGAAGGGGCGGGGAGGGGGGGGCGCGGCGCGACGCGGAATAAAATGATCGGGGCGGAGGGAACACTCGGCGGAGGTTCCACTGGGCCGCTGGGGAACGCTGGGGATGTAGGAGGGGGGGGGGGGGGGGAGTGCGGTGCGACGCGGAATAACATGGTCGGGGCGGAGGGGCACTGGACAGAGATTCCACTGGGCCGCTGGGGAACGCTGGGGAGGGGTAGGACGGGAAGGGGTGCGGTGCGACGCGGAATAAAATATCCGGGGCGGAAGGGGCACTGGGCGGAGGTTCCACTGGGCCGCTGGGGAAAGCTGGGGAGGGGTAGGAGGGGGGCGGGGAGGGAGGGGGGCGCGGCGCGACGCGGAATAAAATATCCGGGGCAGAGGGGGCACTCGGCGGAGGTTCCACTGGACCGCTGGGAAAGCTGGGCGGGTATGAGGGGGGCGGGGAGGGGGGGGTGCGGTGCGACGCGGAATAAAGTGGTCGGGGCGGAAGGGGGCGCTGGGCGGAGGTTCCACTGGGCCGCTAGGGGACGCTGGCGAAGGGTAGGAGGGGGGCGGTGAGGGGAGGGGGGGGGCGGTGCGACGCGGAAGAACGTGGTCGGGGCGGAGGGGGCACTGGGCGGAGGTTCCACTGGGCCGCTGGGGAACGCTGGGGATGGGTAGGAGGGGTGGCGAGGGAAGGAGGGGGGTGCGGTGCGACGCGGAATACTCTGGTCGGGGCGGAGGAGGCACTGGGCGGAGGTTCCACTGGGCCGCTGAGGAGGGGTAGGAGGGGGGCGGGGAGGGGGGCGCGGTGCGACGCGGAATAAAATGGTCGGGGCGGAGGGGGCGCTTGGCGGAGGTTCCACTGGGCCGCTAGGGGACGCTGGGGAGGGGCAGGAAAAGCGCGGGAGGGGGGGCGGTGCGACGCGGAATGAAGTGGTCGGAGCTCTAGACACCCTGTGCAAGAGAATAAAAAGAGGGATGGAGTAAAAGGAGGTGGCTCGAGCTGACAGCCAGAGGACGAAATCCCGCACCCTGGACCATGCCGGGACGAGAGACGCCCGAAAAACACGAGTCCCAACACGATACCCCTCGACAGCGAGCCGCCCAGAACATGGCCGCCGACAGCGGAGATTTCATGCCTGAGGGGACGAATACAGTCAACCCGAGAATAAGGACGCACGATGAGGATGCAAGGTTCTTGGAAGGCCAGGGCGACACTTTGCGAGCGGGGCGCGGCCAGCGAAAGCGGCCAAGGATGGGCCGAAAGTACTGTGGGGGTTGACTGCAGAGGAAGATACAACAGCATGATCATTAACTTTCGGAGCTCCGCGCTGATCTGCTGGATCGATCGGCGCCTGAACCCCAGAGTTCGCCCAAGAATCCTCCAAGACGGCCCAAAAGGCCTCCAAGAGGTCCTCCAGGAGGGCCCGAAGAGGCCAACATGATTGATTGTCCTACGTTTTCGACAGATTTGGGCATGTGTTTCTGTTCGGCCTTCCGACGGCCGAAGACAACCCAAGAGGCCCCTAAGATCGCCCCAGATTGTCTCAAGAGGCCGTCAAAATGGCCCCCCCAGGACGGCCCAAGACGCCCCGAAGACGGCCCAGAGGGGGGCCCAAGAAGCCCCAATATGCCTCCATGACGGCCATGATGGCCTCCAAGACGGCCCTGAAGCGCCCGAAGAGAGCCCCCAGACGGTCCAGAGAGGGCCCCAACACGGCGTCAGACGGCCCAGGAACACCCTAAGACAGCCAAAAGGCCAACGTCAGACCCCCAAGAGGCCTCCAAGAGGCTCCCAGGAAGCTCCCAGGAGACCCCAAGAGGCTCCCAAGAGGTCTACTCCTACTCCTCCTTCTCTTCAGCCTCCTCCTCATCTTCCTCCTCCTCTTCCCGCCTCCTCCTCCTCCTCCTCCTCCTTCTCCTCTCTGTTGTTCCTCCCTCTTCTCCGTTTCTATGTTTCCCCCGCGTGTTCCCCGAAAGGTTTCCAGAACGGCTTGGGGAACATGGTCCGATAGCTTGGCAGAGCTCTAGCCACAACGTCCGGCCAAATGAGCGGTTCCAAAGGGCTGGGGGCGGCGGTGATTAACCGTAGGCATCCTCGATCGGAACCGAACAGGATCGGGCTGGCCGAACTCCACATCGAATCGGATCAATCTGACCGAAATGGACCCTGATCGTGTCAGGTCAGCCCAAGCATTGAACAATGGGAATACCTATCTTTTTCGTCCGATGCCGTTTCATCCGGACAAATTCATCCAAAACGAGTCTATCCGGACGAGTTCGTCCTGACAGCTTGTCTGGATCACCCGAAGACGAGTTCATCCGAAGACGTGTCCACCCAAAGCCTAGATCACCAGTGGACAAGTTCACCAAGACGAGATTAGCTGGACAACTTCATCCAGACGGGTTCGTCCGGAAGAACGTTCTTCCGGATGAACTCGTCGCGGAAGAGATCGTTCGGGATGAGTTTGTTTCTTAGTCAAACTATTGGGTCTCAGGGACCCGCAGCGTCAGCTTCAGGATGCACTGGTTGTCCTCCAGGGCTCCCCCCTCGGGCCCCCGTCGCCCCCGCCTGGAGGATGACCACAGTGAGGTCGAAGTAGTTCCAGGAGCAGCCTGCCGAAAACGGCTGCCCTCGAAAGCGAACAGAAGCGGGGATCTACGAGGAAGGGGGGGGAGTGGAGGAGGAGGAAGAAACGAGGAGGGAGAGGAGGAGGAGGAGAAGGAGGAGGAGGAGGAGGAGGACGAGGAGGA